GATCATGAAAAAGACGGTGACGACGGCGACAGCAGCAACGACAGGGGACAGCGAGCAGCGACAACAGCAACCGCAGCAACAACAATAGTCAACAACAACTAATAATAATAACGATAATATCAGTGATAGGTGTAGGTGTGTGTGTGTGTTGACCGCCACACACTTGTGGACTGACATTATCACACGTGTGTCTTTGTGAAATAAACGGTATAGTTAGTGGACAAAACATGATGAAGTACCTTAGGGTGCCTTGAGCATCTGGGGGTTGCAGAACCTGTAAGACTGGGGTGCAGGGTAGCTCAACTGGTAGAGTGCACAGTTTGCACACCTCATGTTGGCTGGATTTGATTCCAACCTGTTCCCCCCACTCATTTCCTGTCTACCTTCACCTGTCCTATCAAATAAAGGCACAAAAACTCAAAAAAAAACCTCTTTAAGACAACCATATATTGAAGGTAAAAAGAAAAAATGAAGAATAAAAATAAAAGTTACATATTAGTCACATCTTAAGTTAGCTAATGCTAACTAATGTTAATAAAATGCTAGCCAGCTAACTAGCTAATGATTGATGTAGATTTGTTAGCTAGTTAGCTAGTGTTTTGTTAAGATTAGCTTAAAACATGATGTACTGTATGTGTTTTAACCATCTTCAAGATGTGGTTGTCTTTTCAACATAGATTAGCCTAGCAAATGGCATGTCTAAGTACAGGAAAGGAGGAAGTTGACAGAGGCTTGCTTAACTTAAAAATGGGCTTAGGAAGGATCAATCATAGATAGAGAAATGCAATGTAGATAGTGCGTACTCAATTTGACCTTCATCTGTGCAGTTGCTATATTGCAAAGGTCAAGATCTACTTAACAATACTGAGAGATGCAAACTGCACTACAAAAATCCACTGTAACTCACTTAATTCTGAACCCATTTTTAGGAAATTTGGTTTGTTATAAACATTAGAAATGGAACCTGATACTGGTTACTTGTAGTAATTAATTCAGTTACTGGCTACTGATATAATCAGGTTTATGAAAAAAACATCAATATGGCGACCACACAGATGTATAGCTGTGGCATACAGCAGCGGCCAATTAAGTATCTATGTTTCTATGTCTATGGGGTCAGTTATGCCCACAGCAAGTCCTTTCCTGTCTCACTGGCCCATAGACATTGACACAATGATCACTATCATTACTACTATCTACTACTACTATGACTATTCTGTCAGGTTTGAAAACACTGAGACCTAGCTTTGCTCCCTGACGCACACATCACAAGAATTTGGCTGAACAGCAGTTTTAATTTACTTGTTCAAACAACATATTATTCATTCAAAATAGTGTCATTTCCTTAGATTATATTTTGCAGCATCAATAAAATTAAGGTTTAAATCTCAAGATGAACTTAATGTGTCCAAAGGTCCTCAGTAGCACCAGGTGAAATGTGCTATATTTCTTTTGTTATCTCCAGCAGAGTGCAGGGGCTGGTGGGACCACCTGAACTGCTGGCCTCATGCTGCTGTTGGAGAGGTTGTGTCTCAGCCGTGTCCCTGGTTCCTACATGCTACAGGTTAGTCTAACTTACTGTATAGTTTTAGCCACACTATTTGCATGGCTCAATGTTGTAAATGGTAAATGGTAAATGGACCTGTACTTGTATAGCGCCTTTCTAGTCTTCCATAGCTCCATAGTATTTTCCCTCTGTTTAATGCAAGGTGGAAATTACACTGTCTACACCAACGTTGTGTACTCCCTCATGGAAAATGTACTGGTATGTTGCCCCTTCCGTTACATAGAGAAGTCTCCAGCATATGAGTGCACCACCCGGTACTCACAGTGCACTGCATTTTGCCACACTCGACAGTGTGAACACACTTATGTACTCAAAATAGTCAGGTTCGGATATAATACCCCTATATACCCCTTTAGCGGCTGCCTCTATTGTTTTCAAGCAAACAGTCACTTCTCATGCACATAATCATACACACCTTAACAGTGTTAAACCACACCTGTAGCTTATACTGTAGCTGCCAGTAGTTCTTAAAAAGACACTGATTGGTCTGAACCACTGTGGTTTGACACAAGCGCATAACTTAGCAAGATGGATTTTCACATGATTTTGTGATGTTGCGTGTCCAGCCGCCACAATTTTACTCAGCTGTACCTTCTGTTTAGCACTACAAATGCTGGCATGCTAAAACACTAAACTGAAATGGTGAACATGACTAAGCTCCTGGAATATTATACACTGAGATTGGCCCATTGGTCAGAAGCCTGTTCTATAATCCACACCTTCATTAACACAATGTTTACATGACAAACATACAGGGCAGTGGATTTTATTGCTGGGGTAAATTAAGCCAATCTGGTCCAGTATGAAAGAGCTCGACAAATATCAGATGGACATTTAGTCTCCAGAGGATGACTGGTAACCCATGTTTCCACAGCCAAGTTGGTGAACACAAGCTGTCATGCTGTAAACTGATAACTGGCTTTACATTTTTCTGTTCACTCATGCATGCTGGGGTTTTTCTTTTTTACATATCAGCCTTATTATTGTTTTCTGATCATCCATCAGTGGGCCAGTGGATTCTTTTACTGTGAAGAAGTTATAGGAAATGCAATGTGTTTGTGACAGAGTTAGTGGGGCTTTGTTAGCAGTGCTATTCTTTTATTCTAGTTGGTCTTCACTACAACATATGTACATGTTTACAGTGGATCAGTAAATAGTTTCAAATATTACAGGGGGGAATAGGGCAAGATGTTAGATAATGAGCAGCAGACATCAGACATACATCACTCACGGTTCTGTGCAAGTGTAGTGCACAGACTGTACATCAAAGCTTTCGTTTATAGAGTGACATATCCAGTGACGGCTGGTGGTGATTTTGGGTTGGTGGACTAACAAATGCATTACACTCATCAATACTT